GGGTGTAATGAATATGTTCATTATGTTTCTAATATAATAATATTTTTAATTACAGTAATTTTATTGTAATTACTTTTGAATAAAATTAGCCTCACAAAATAGGGCAATTTTAAGAAAAACTGACGAGGCCCTGACCAGTTTTTCCCTAAGTAGGGCATTGGTCGGGAACAGCGTCACACACTAGTCGGGCACTGGTCAGTTTCTCTACCCAGAGCCACACCAGAGATCGGGAAAACTGTCCAGTACCCTATCAGGCCCACATTTTAATTTCTGCACGGGATTCATAAAGTTTAACTATATTTTTTTTTATTTTTCAAAAAATCGTTTTTAAAAATTTCTTAGAGTTTCCTCTGTAAGGAGTAAGGCCACTGAAGAATTTTCAAAACATTAATTTTTTTATTAGCTGAAAAAATTCTTTGAACCTTGTAGAATATAGAGCAAAAGGTTTTATACGTGTCTGAAATCGTTTTAATTGAAATTTCGAGCCCTTTTACCGAGCGCGCCGGGCCGTTCCGCAACGACTACCTGCGTCTGATGGCTACCTGTTGGGCAGGAACTGCTCAGATGATGATGATATAAATACAGAAGGATGTCTATATGATGCTTTAATTACAGATTAATGGTAAAAAATTTTCATTTCTTCATAGGAATGTTGTATATATCTTAAAACTTTAAATGCGTATTTCTCAAAACACGTTTTTTGAAATCAGCACGCAGCATAACTCAAACAATTTTCAATCGGATTTTTTCTTACATCTTTATAATAACATTTTAAAGAGAAACACGTAGGGGATTTTCAATAACTTAATTTATACATTTGTTATGAACAATTTAGTGCCGTTTTTTTTGGTCGAACAATGAATCTTTTTTTCAAATGCCTGCCAATTTCACAAAAATCCATATTTTTTAAATCCCCTACGTGATTCTCTAGCTATTGTCATGTAGATAAAGAAAATTTTTTTTATTTTGTTCCAGATTAAATTTTGCCGCGGAGCTCTTCAAAAAAAACATCTTATTAAAATGTCCGTAACTCCGCCATTTTGTATTTTTTGTTGTTAAAAATTTACATTTTTTTAGTTCAATATATGACTAATAACATACTACATTATTACAATTGTATTCGCTTTCCTTCCAATAAAAAAAAATTCTTGAAAACTGGTTTTTTTGCGTTTACAGTGGCCTTACCCCTTAATATATACTTTTTGCAGATTTTTGAAAAATGTAGTTTTTCCAAAAAATTACTTTTTTGGAAAAAAACTCATTCTATCAGAAATAACTTAACCGATTTAAATGAAATTTAAATGTATTATAAACATAAATAAGACAGTTTAAAAAAATATTTTAAAATTAAAAAAAAATTCTAAATTAATTAATTTAAAATTGTAAAAAAAAAATTCTTTTAGTAGTTTCAGATAAAAATGAGTTTTTAAAGTTTTTTTTTCAAAAAAGTCGTCTTTTGAAAAAACTATATTTTTTAACAACCTGGGAAAAATATAGGGGAGAGGTACGCACGTTGAGACACTAAGATATTATAACCTGTGTAACTGATAATACCAAAAATTATATTGGCATTTTGTGGTATTATTAATACCAAACTTTTTATTCAAAAAAAGCGCAATAACTCCTGTTTTTTTGGTAAAACTAAAGCGAACGTTTTTCAGAATTTCTGTTTAGTGCATTTACAGTATTTTTTAGTGGCAGAAAAAATTGCGGATAACATTGACATATCAATTTTGGTTCTACTTTAAAGTTCCGACGAAAATTTAGACATACGTTAATATCTACAAATAATTTCAAAGCTTTAAAAAAATAACGGCAAGGTCTGCACGTTGAGACACACTGTGGTACGCAGGTTAAAACGCTCACGGTGTGAAAATAGTACTGTCATTAAAATTGATTTTGAATCTACAATTTTTTAGCGTTTTACATGTTCTTCACCTGTAAAAATTGCGAATATAAAAATTTCAATTAATTATTTCTGTGCAAAATAAAATTTTTTTTTGATTATCTTCTTTAAGTTAATTTTTAATGTTTTAATTTTTTTCTTTGCGCTAAGACCATCAAAACAAGTAAATAAACAACAAACAATTAGAATCTGACGTAATTATTCATTTTGTTTCAATTTAAAATAAATTACTATGGGTGTCTCAACGTGCGTACCACTTTTTTTTGGTAAAAAATAACATGCTTAAAAAATCAGCTATAAATTTTTCAATTTTTCTAAAAAAAATAACTTTCTTTGCCAATGTTGTAGCCCTGGACAATACTTTTAAGAAAGCATTTCGAATTTTTCGCTAAATTTTGTTTTTTAAAAATTATAACTGAAAAACAGAACCCGTCTCAACGTGCGTACCTCTCCCCTATATTAAAGAGGAAACTATAAGGTATTTTTTAAAAGAAATATTAGATGTGTATCATTAAAAAAATTAAAAATTTTTTTTGAAAATTTCAAAATTAATTTAAAATTTTTTTTTTAAATTGTCTTATTTATAATTATAACATATTTAAATTCCATTTATATCGGTTAAGTTCTTTCCGGAAAAGTGAGTTTTTTTTCTCCTCCCCCCCTTCATAACTCCTAAAGGACGTTTAAAAATATCGGCCCAATTCTGTAGGTGGTGTGGAAACGTTTTATGCAAAAATTGGAAAGGGCATGTGTCAAAAGTATTTAAAATGTTTCAAGACCACCGTGACCTATAAATGTTTTTCTCTAATTTTGTAGTTTTTTTAGGCGCATCTTTTGAGCCCTTATTGAACATTTTTGTCCATATATTAACCGGAAATATTAAACTTTTAAGAATCTAATATTTTGGAAAATAAGACTTTTTGAACAGTTTTGTTGAAAAATGTAGAAATAACATTAAAAGTATCGTTACCAACTTGTAGAGCATTGAAAATCGCTTCGATTGACCTATTTTTTAACTTAATTTGATTATAAATTTCGAAATTATTGGTATTTTAAAAACCAAAAATATACACAAAAAAAGGAAAAATACAATCATCATCGAAAAAAAATATTTTGCACGTACAACATAGCAAATTTGCAAAGACTGAAAATTGTAACGCTTACACAACAAGGCACCAATAAATTTTACAAATCCTCTTACGACTTTTGACGTCAGGGAAGGCAGCAGTCTCAAAGTAAGGTGTAAATAAATTAAAATGCACCTGGACCTGGAGCACTGCTCCAAGTCAAGGACCCTTAAATTGTAGGAGTATTTTTCCAAAAAAAGATTCTTGTTCATCACCATAGAATCGACCAATTGTAAATCTAGTTCTATTTGTGTAGAAAAAGAATTCATTTAATAATAGCACTAGCAAATACGCAGATGAAAGAAATTCTAATTAACCGCAGGTGAATAAGGTTCCGAATTTAATTAAGGATATCGATTGGTAGAGGGGTAATAATGGGTAAACAGTGTTGGCACTGTGGTGACACAAAGCTAGACGCAGCTGGAGTATCGTGCTCAAAGCCCGCTCAACAGTCGCTTTGATGTGGCAATGACCAGTGCGAATTTTGATTGTATCAATGGTCACGCATTGCTTGTTACGGACTTCCACCTTTTCTAAAGGGAATCAAAATCTTTGAGTGCTTTAATAAAATTCTCTAATCTTTATTTTTCTTTACCACCTTGAATTTTCCCTCTTTAGAAAATTAAATGTTTTCAGTATATAAATGTCTACATAGTCTTATATTCATTTATTAAAGTTTAATTATTCAATTTTATTAATTGAATTTTAAAACGGAAATATATAATCTTCATCGAAAATATGAAGCTGAAACTGGGAGAAATTACCTCCATATTCCTCAAAGTTTTATGAAAATGTAAGCACGAGTTTAGATCATTGTGGACTGCTTAACCCTTTGAAGCACAGTGGTACACCAGTGTACTGTAAAATGTTTTAAAGTCAAAATTAAAAATTGACTAGATTCGCTTGGAAATGGTTACTCGGGGGTTTTTGGGGTCGCTGATTACGAATTCCAAAATTCAAAATGGCGGATCCAATATGGTGGCTGTCAAAATAAAAAATTCATGGGATTCGCTTGAAACTTGTTACTCGGGAGTTTTCGAGGTTGCTGATTACGAACCTGATGTTAGTTTTTAAAAATTCAAAATGGTACAATATAATACATCTGACACCGGTTTAGGTTTCTATTCTCAAATTTTCTCATTAAATTAAATCTTTTTTAAATAAAATCAAAAAATCTTTTTTTACAGATATATGAAACATTATTAAATGTAAAAAAATTAATAATAAATGCAGATACGTAAAATTATAAAAAATTATAAATAAATAAATTTATAAAATAAAAATTAATTAATTTCGTGCAAATTTTTTTATATTTTAAAATCAAACTTCTTACTTAAATGTTTTTTGGCAAAAGAACTTCAGATTCGTAATCAGGGATCCCAAAAACCACTCAAAAAATTTTTGTTTTTTAAATTATTGTTGTAATGTAATGTATGTCGCAAATGGTTAAATGATAGAGAAAAAATTTTCAGTCAGCATCTACTTTGAATATTAAAAATAGATAATGTAGTATTATTAATAAAATTAGCCAATTCGTTTAATTAATTTCCATAGTTAAGAGGTTAATTGATTTCTTTCTATATAGTGTGTCAACGATTACTGTATCCATTTTATTTTCTAAAACTTAATTAATTTAAAACAATGAAGCACTTAATTTTATTTTACTAAGTTGAAAGACATTTCCATTTGTTAACAAATAACTGTATACATACATTTTTAATAAATATCATTATGTACAACTTCATTTGTTTCTTATGTAAGAGTGTAAAAAATTAGTGACTTCATTTAACGTAATTTCGGTAATTTCTGGTTGAAAATAAATGACTGTGTTTTTTCTTTGAACCTTACTAATTGTATTTTACTGAATATTTTAACATAAACAGTCATTTATTTTTTGCATGTTAGTCAACAGTTATTTAGTATAGTCTTATTTATTTCACTGTTTTCAATTCATTGAGTTTGAAAAAATGAACATAATAGAGTCTGAAATGCCAAGTGATAATGAATCAATCGATGGGCTAGTTGAGTCCGAAAATGAAAATGATGATTTGGACGATTTGATGGATAATAACACTCAATATGATACTGATAGTGATAATGATTGCGAATCTGACAGAATACATGACAAAAATGATGACGGTTGGAGACGTTGTGGAATGTCAGAAACTAATTTTCCATTCACGAAAATTAGTGGACCAAATATACCACATACAGCAAAGTCACCACTGGATGTATTCTCTTGTCTATTTTCAATGGAGTTTGTAGATTTACTTGTTGATCAAACAAATATTTACATAGATCAACAAACTAATCCACTGAAAAGAAGTAAGAGAATTAAACCAGAACCTGTAACAAGAAAAGAAATGCTTACCTTTTTAGGTATAAATATGTTAATGGGTGTAAAAAAGCTTCCTTCATATAGGGATTATTGGTCTTTGAACTATCAACTAAGAGACACATATATCTCTAGTGCTATGAGTGTAAATAGGTTCGGGTTTCTGCTAACACATTTACATTTGAATGACAGTAGTATGGAACCTAAAAAAGGTCATGCAGAATATGATAAGTTGTACAAAATTCGACCACTTGTAGACACCTTATCAAAAACTTTTCAAGAGTGTTGGCAACCTAGTGAGAACCAATCGATTGATGAAAGTATGGTAAAATTCAAAGGACGCAGTTCGATGAAGCAATATTTACCAAATAAACCGATCAAGCGAGGCTACAAAATATGGGTTCGAGCTGATGAGGATGGTTTTGTGTGTCAATTTCAAATTTACACAGGCAAGGAGAAAAACTCTAAAAAGGAAGATAATCTAGGAAAACGTGTTGTAATAGATTTGACGAGAACTCTTATTGGTAATTACTATCGAGTGTACCTTGACAATTTTTTTACTGGTATGGAATTAATGATGTCCTTAAAAAAAGACAAAATTCTAGGTTGTGGAACCGTTAGAGTCAATCGCAAAGGTTTACCAAAAGATCATCAGCCAGACAGAAAAATGAAAAGAGGTGACAGTGAGTTCCGATCATGCTCAAGTGGCATAGGATGGGTAAAATGGAAAGACAATAAAGCTGTGTATGCTCTATCAAATTTTCACGATCCCTCAAAAGTTTCAGAAACAAATCGAAAAAATAAAGACGGCAGCGTAAGTGTTATTTCTTGTCCCGATATAATAAAGGATTATAATCAACATTTGGGTTACGTAGACAAAGCTGATATGCTGAAATCTTTGTATGAGATCGACAGAAAATCGAAAAAATGGTGGCACAGACTATTTTGGCATCTTTTAGATGTCGCTGTCACGAATGCGTTTGTCATCGACAAAAAAAAGGAGTTTCTAACTTAACTTTAAAACGATTTCGTTTATCAGTTGTCGATGAGTTAATTGGTTGGACACAACCTTCGAAACAGGGCAGAAAACCTCTACCCACAAATTTAACTGCTCAAAAAATGAAAATTCCAGATGCTATGCGGTTCTCACAAGGAATGCATTTGCCAAAAGTGTTGCCAGAAAAAAGCCATCGAAGATGTACGTATTGTAGCAGCAAAGAAAACGGAAACCGAACGTCATGGGTTTGTTCCACTTCCGATGTACCGTTGTGTCTCAATGTAGAGAGAAATTGCTTTTCTTTGTTTCATTCTAAATAATAAGTGAAGGTTTTTAGGGTTAATTGGCCAAGGGACGAAATCCTTATAGCAAGACTAGATGTTGAGTGAAAGTAAAAATTCTTAATTTGTGTTGTAATTTCTTATTTATTATTATTATTCAATAGTGTCCGTGGGAATTAAGATTGGTTTTATTATTAAATTAAAAGAATTATATAAAAAGGAATTTAAAAAATAAAAAAAACAAACAAAAATTTAAAAATTAAAAAAAAAAATTTTAATGAAAAAAAAAATAAAAAGATAGAGACTACAGCCGTCACGTCCTCGTTCGTGTCTCTGGGTTAGGCTAAGAGCGGTTGGTCTTGAAACAAAATTGTTAGACTTTCAATTGAATTATATTAATTCTCAATTTCGGCAAACTTCATTTTGAATTTTCAAAAACTTACATCAGGTTCATAATCAGCGACCCCGAAAACTCCCGAGTAACAAATTTCAAGCGAATCCGATCAATTTTTTATTTTGACAGCCGCCATATTGGATCCGCCATTTTGAATTTTTAAAAACTAATATTAGAGCTGTGCAAAATAATTCGAACCGAACTGTTCGAATTTTTTCGCCTAGTTCGAATGTCGAAAATTCGACATTCCAGTTACTACAAAATTCGAACCGAACCGAGTTGTGTTCGGTTTTAGTACGCTAAAATGTCGAATTCTAAAATTCGACATTTCAGTCGCCCAGTTGTAATGTCGAATATTCGACATTCGAACTAGCCCAGTTCGGATGTCGAATATTCGACATTCGACATTTCGGCGCCCCAAAACCGAACTAAACTCAGTTTGGTTCGAATTTTGCTCTAACTAACTAACTAACTAACATCATATTCATGATCAGCGACCCCGAAAACTCCCGAGTAACAAGTTTCAAGCTAATCCGATCAATTTTTTATTTTGACAGCCGCCATATTGGATTCGCCATTTTGAATTTTCAGAAACTAACATCAAATTCATGATCAGCGACCCCGAAAACTCCCGAGTAACAAATTTTAAGCAAATCCGATCAATTTTTTATTTTGACAGCCGCCATATTGGATCCGCCATTTTGAATGTTTAATAACTAACATCATATTCATGATCAGCGACCCCGAAAACCCCCGAGTAACAAGTTTCAAGCTAATCCAATCAATTTTTTATTTTCACAACCGCCATATTGGATTCGCCATTAAGAATTTTTAAAAAATAACACCAGTTTCGTAATCAGCGACCCCGAAAACCCCCGAGTAACAAGTTTTAATCGAATCCGATCAATTTTTTATTTTGACAGTCGCCATATTGGATCCGCCATTTTGAATTTTTAAAAACTAATAGCGGATTCGTAATCAGCGACCCCAAAAACCCCCGAGTAACCATATTCAAGCGAATCCGATCAATTTTTTATTTTGACAGTCCCCATATTGGATCCGCCATTTTGAATTTTCAAAAACTAACATCAGATTCGTAATCAGCGACCCTGAAAACCCTTATAACTGCTGTTGTAAATTCATTTCATCTGTTCTAAAAATTCGTGCTTCAAAGGGTTAAGATGTTTATCAAAACTTACACAAAAATCGAAAAATTTAAAGAAGTTTGATTTTTGAAACTTTAGGCTTAGCAGAAGTCAATCCAAACGTTGCTCAAAATCCTATTTACAATGAACCGGAATGGGTAAAGGAAATATGTGACGATGACAATCTTTCTGATTCCGAAAATAAGGATTTTAGTTTTAATAATTCAGTTTCAAAAAATGACAATGTTTTTATGTTCATTATTAACAAAGAACTCTATGAAACAATGAAGACGAAGTTGATAGAAAATAAAACTTGTATAAAGTATGCGTTAAAGCCACGTGTGTGGTCCAATATTGTTATGAAGACGGTCTGGCGACAAATGCGTCTTCCATGTGCATACACATTTAACGGCGTTGGAAGGTCTGTGAAATTTTAAGGTTACAATTATCGCCCGACAAAATACGGCACTGACTGATTTAAATGACGTGAAATAGGTAAATAAACATTTTTCAACCACTTTTTCTCTAAACACAGACACTTTTTACAAAATAAGCCAACGTACAATGGGTAAGAATCTTCTTAATAACCTAAATTCAAAAGATTGTTTAAATTCATGCAGAAACGCGGTTGTAAAATGTAAAATTGGAAATGATTGGAAAGTAATGTAATGACAGACAACAAGAAGCGGTTTACTGCCAGTCACCAGAAGAGGGCAGAAGCATGCAGAGAGCACAATGTTCTAGCTGTTATATTCTTAGCATTATATCACTTTCCAATTTTACATTTTACAACCGCGTTTCTGCATGAATCTAAACAATCTTTTGAATTTAGATAATTAAGAAGATTCTTACCCATTGTACGTTGGCTTATTTTGTAAAAAGTGTTTGTGTTTAGAGAAAAAGTGGTTGAAAAATGTTTATTTACCTATTTCACGTCATTTAAATCAGTCAGTGCCGTATTTTGTCGGGCGATAATTGTAACCTACAAATTTTACAGACCTTCCAACGCCGTTAAAATAACTCAACTATCTTGAGATCAGACTACCTTCATTTGAAAAATATTTTGTCGCTGTAATAACAAATACTGTAATATAACGAATTTTTTGGTATTGCAGAAAAGGAGCCACTTTCTGTTGTTGACTTGATTTTAAAAATTATTAAAACAAACGATACGAGTGAAAACGTAAAACGGAAACTTAGGTTCGATGAGCATAAATAAGTCATTCCACGTCAAGTGATCCAGGTCAAAAATTTACATGGAATATTTGAAAAATTTGCAGTTTTTTTTAAAAACAAAACAAAAAGATGTTTTCTATTTTGGGGTTTTCTGATGTTTTTAGCAGTTTGTAATGGTGTAAAAAAATTTAAAAAAAATTGTTTGACCTTGAAAAATTAAATTTCATTTTTTAATCAAATGGACATTTTTTATTTTTTTCATAAAGGTGAGGTTTTTTCCTAAAAAAAGTATAGGTCAAAACGTGGGACAAGAACTTTTAACCGGTCAAATTAAGCATTTACTTCTGCAGTGCACCGGCCCACAGTGGAATTTTTTTTACAATTTACTATTAAAAAATGTCTACAGCTTACAATTTTTAACCGATTTGAGTGTTCTTTGTTTTAAATTAAAGGGGAATAAATTCTTAAGACATCCTTCGAGGCCGATTTTTGGGATTTTAATTGTTTTTAATTTTTTTTAAACAATGTTAACAAATTAATACACTTTTTTAAAAAAGGACGTTTATTTTCTTCACATTCAAATTTATCCAAAATGACCACCAGATAATTAATAAAGCATAAAATAATTTATTTCAATTGTTATAAACAATATACAGCCCAACAACGCGCAGGGGCTGTGGATTGCAGAAGTAAATGTTTATTTTAACCAGTTAAAAGTTCTCGTCCCACGTTTTGACCTACACATTTTTTTAGGGAAAAACCTTACTTATATGAAATTTTTTTTTTAATAAAAAATGTCCATTTAATATAAAAATGAAATTTTATTTTTTAATTTAATTTTTCAAGGTCAAACAATTTTTTTTCTAAATTTGTTTACACCATTAGAAACTGCTAAAAAAAACATCAGAAAACCCCAAAATAGAAAACATCTTTTCGTTTTGTTTTAAAGAAACTACGAATTTTTCAAATATTCCATGTAAGACCAAAAATTTAAACTTTGACCTCCTCCAGTTTTTATATTTGTTTAAATAAATTAATAATATTTGGTATTTTTAATTGTATCTAATAGGACTACTGTTTGTGCAAACTTTTAACCTGATCCCAAACATTTCAAATTTGGACCAGGATCACTTGAGGTGGAATGCCACAAATATGGTAATGATTTAAAAAAAACAATGCTTTCTGAGGAAGCGAAAAAAGATATACAACAATTAATTTCAACTGAAGATTATGCGTCTATGAAACTATTAATTCCTAAGGCAGAAAGTAAAAATTACAAGAGAATTATTTTAAAAATGCTAGGCAATGATCAAAATTCTTTTGAAAAAACTTCACCATTTTACAAAGAAATAAGTTCTTCTCAAACAATCGACTTATGAATTGATATGATTGTAAAGCAAACAAAAAGTGGTAAGTATTATTTTAAGACTAAAAATTTCCAAATAATATTTTCTTATCACTAATAAATACTCATTTGTAACGAAAAATTTGCCTTCCCATATATAATCAATTTTCGATTATTTTTATTAATTAATTTTTGTAATAGGTGACAAAAAGGGATTGAACGACATAAAATTACAAGATAATGTAGAAATCGAAGAAAATAAGAACGATAAGAATAATGACAGAGAATTAAAAGGGAAGGCAATTAAAAATTCTGTCGAAGAAGATAGCTGTAACGTTAGTATTAATTCTAACAGCATCCAGATATTCAGGATATCCTCCAAATGTCTTAAGAATATATGAAATCTATTAAATCCCCAGGATGTCCCAGGGATGACCTGAGATATCTTAAAAACATTTCAGGGATATAAAAATTTCTAGATGTGGCTAGGACGTCCGTAGGATATCCTTGAATATCCTTTACTGTTAGAGAAGGAAAAAAAGGATTTTAAACAACATGAAAAAGGGAGAATTTAAATATTCAAGAAAATAATTTTGATGATAGTGCACTAATAGATCTTGGCAGCAGTGAGAACGCTTCGATTGTGGATAATAACACTGAATTGGCTACTGACGAAT